AACTTGCTATGCTGTTTGCCTGCAGCCGAGACGAGCTTGAAAGGAGAAGGTGCACTCTAGGTCCCTAGGCCCTCTGTCGATTTCGTAGTAGCAGTCGGCGTCACCACTGCGAGGATTGTGCTGCGGTGCTAGCCTTTGCGTGGATCTGCACGAATGTTATCAGTGCGTCCGCGCCAGCGCTCATCGGGCTCAGCGTCGATGGTCCTCTCGCATGTACGCCTTCGGCTTTTCTGTCAGTCTCAACACCACCCAGAGCATGTCCTGGTATGCAAGCTGCCCTCAAGCCAGTCTCAAGAAGTTGCTGGTCTTCTCGGTCTTCTCCACGTTTCCTGAGGCTACTCGCCTTCATGCTGTCGACATGTAAACGGCTGTAAATCGAGGTAGCTCCAGCGCCTCTAGCGGCAGGAGGGTGCGCTCAGCGCCGACAACGATTGTCCAGATGTTCTGCCCGACTCTCCCTTGCAGCAAGGGTGGTGAAAAGGCTCTACTCGAGCAAAATCCAGTTTGCACAGGTCCCTCTCCGGATTAAAGCACGCTTGATCTAGGCATGCCATAAAAGGGAGCTCGGGCTGTGTGGGACACGTTCACTGTCTGAACACGACAGAAAGAAGCTCTGAGGAGCCCTCCAAGAATCATCTTCATCTGTGCATAGCATGTCATGCTCCTGTTAGTGCTACATCACCAGCTTTCATGAGCAGGCATTTGAGCTTGGTTGCAGGGTTGCGCAGATGCTGTCAGGTGGATGACAGTTCCGATCATGTGCAATCACTATGAAATCTCGGGACACCAAAGCGTGTTGGGCCTTTCCGTGGCCGTTCTGCAAGTGCTCGAACGGCTTGTCAGCTGCTGTCCTCTCGCATCGCTCATGCCTTGGCGCGCTGTGTGCACTCCACGGCCGTGCTTTCCAAAGCACCCCAGCGGCCATTGCTCGGGCGTGCGCAGATGCGCGAAGCTTGACTTTCAGAACCTTTGGTTCCACCAGGTGCTTGAGGGTCTATCCAGCGAGCAGCACACAGGCCAGCACCGTCTCCATCTCGGTACAAAATGCCAACCTTACCAAAGTGACTGAACGACTTAAGGGTGCCCTGTTGATGCGCTGTGCAAGAAGGCGGTGGGCCACACAATTGCCTGCACTTCTGAGCGCAAAATGGTCTAGACCTGTGCGTTTTCCGATGCCTCCGGCAAGGATCTTTGGCATCCGTCGACCCTTTGACTCTTGGTGGTGTGCTGGATGGGCGGAGGTGAAAACCTCCCTGTTTCGCTCCGGAGGAAAGTCCTGCAGCTCCCGCCACCTTGTGCGCACGCGGGTGGGTTTGTGGATGCAATGGCAAACATGCCCCTTTCGACTCGCCCCGAGACGACGCCCCCCCCGATGCCTATAGGGTTGTGTAAGATTTGATGGGGTTTCATTGGTTTTAGTACGGAGGTCTCAAAGTTCTGAGAGGTTTTCGAGGATGTCTGCTTGACACACCGGCATTAACTCGACATGCATGCTTGCGATGCCTAGCCCAACCCGAGAACTGCAAACTTTCTCGAGGAATTGGACACGTGCATCCTTGCATCCCCTGCGGGGTCGACCTCTTGAGCCAGAGGGTGTTGAATTGTAGGTGCTGCTTGGGTTTGGCCGACTGCGAAAGTCAGCTGTCGTCAGCGACGCAGATTTCCCCCTCGGCACCAAGACGACTGAGTGATGCTTCTCTTGGCAGCACCACATCAGCGGCCTTCATGAGATGTGCGTAGGCTTTTCAGCTTGGTGACTTTTCGTTGCACTTCGAGCTCCAGTGACGGTGTTGCGGCGACACGCTACGAAGGCATGGGATTGTCCGTTTCGGTTTCAGGTGGATGGCAGCCCCGAGGTTCTTATGATGGTTTCTGTGCTCCGAGAGCAAATGCACAGCGCTCTCGCATCTGTGTTTGAGCAGTGAAGGGCCCCTCATCCATAGAAGTTGTTTGCCTGCTGTGTACAGGTTTGATCGAGGGGGATCCAAGTTGCTTGTGCTAGCAGCTTGTGCGAGGGAGCTCCGATCATGTGCAATCACTATGAAATCTCGGGACATCAATTCGTGTTGTGCCTTTCAGTGGCCGTTCTGCAAGCGCTTGAAGGGCTTGGCGGCTGCTGTCCTCTCGCAGCGCTTCTTCCTTGGTGCACTGTGTGCAATCCGTTGCTGTGCCTTCCAGAGCGGCCCATGCTCACCCACATCTGTTGCATCAGTCAGCAATGGTTCGATATCCTTGTGTGCTTGAAATTTCAGATAAAGCCCGCGAAGAGATGTGAAGCTTTCATCGCAAACTGACGTGCCATCTGCCTCGAGGAGTGGATAGTCCCCGGCCTTCGAGCTTTTCCCACTTGTTTCTTCTTCGTTCTCTCAGATGTTGAGTCCCGCCTATCGTGAGGTTGCAGGCCAAGCTTGCTGCTCGCCGTCAAAGTGCCCTGAATTGGCTTCGGATGTGGGGTTGTCCTTACTCTGAAGTACAGCTCGAATGTTCTAGGCGGCATTAATTGGATGCTCCGTGAGCCTCAAAGCATGCTCGTGGCCTTCTCGCCGCTGAGGCTCTTAGTGTACGCAACCAGCCACTGTGTGGCACATTCCCTGCCCGACCAGCCTCCTTATCCCAAAACCGTTGAAAACACTTTCTGCTCAAGACATCGAGCAGTAGGATCGTAGGCGGTTCAAGATCTGTGGCCCCACGAATCGTCTTCGCCGTGAGTGCAACGAGCCATACATGGCAGACGTGCCTTCTGCCTGCAGGGGTGCGTTTCGGAAGCTTTCCGATACCGCAGATGAGCCCGGTGGGTGACCCCTACTCAGAACATGGCGGCTAAGCGAAGCCCATGTCGGCTTCTCTGCATGGCATCAACGTTCGTCTCCTGCCCGGTGCACTTCAGGTTGCTGATGTGCTGCTAAAGGAGCCATGCTTCCTTGACTGTTCTCCGGGGACGATCTTTTACCACTTGCTTTTCCTTGTTCTCTCAGATGTTGAGTCCCGCCTATCGTGAGGCTGCAGGCCAAGCTTGCTGCACGCCGTCAAATTGTGCTGAGTTGGGCGCAGCTGACGAGCTTTGCGCATCGATAGCTTTAGTGCCGAAAGGTCTTCTTCGTGGTAGGTGCAAAGAGCCAGACATGGCAGACACGCGTTCTGTCAGGAGGGGTGCATTCCAGAAGCTTTCCGAGTGCAGAGTGCATTCCCGGTCTGTCTCATGCTGCCAATACGCAGATTAGCCATTAGCCCTGGCGGGTGCCACTGAGCCCCTGGCGGCTAAGGCGGGGCCTGCACGGCGTCAGGTCCGCAGTCTGTTCACACACCTCGACTTGTTTGAGTCCTCGGCCTGTCTGGAACATCACTCATAGCATTAACTTGGTCTCTAACCCGACGGTGCAAATCCGCTTCCGGTCTCGAGAAAAAAGCGCTGCAGAACTTGCTGGGACTCAACTATCCTTGCACGTTTCGTTGGGCTTTGCTGTACTTCCATGAGTTGCTGCAGGAGATACAGTGATGTCGTAAAGAGGCTGCAGTCGTTGATGTTGTTTGTAACATATCCCGTTTTAAGCTTTCGGCCGTGCCTGGATAACAAAAGGTTGCAGGTTTTAGAGTCAGCATCTTTTTCTTTCGGAAAGGGGTCACCTACACGGTGGTGAGCAAGGGGGACATGCCTGCATCTGCATGTCCTGGCGCTCGCGATTTCCTATCGTAGCTCAGGCAGGCGCAGCCCGACGACTGAAAGGAGCGTACACGGCAGCGCACTTGAGTTGTTTTGCGCTACAGTTAATCAGTCAAGTTGAAACATAGACACTGAGCCCTGGATCCTAGAGCCCAAGAGGCCGTCAAGCTTGAACCCTAATCCGAAAGTGCGTTTCTCTGTGCTCATGGCTTGTTCCTCAGCACGGCGCTGTCGAGGCAAACCATAAATGCTGCTTGTGGTGGCCTTCTCCCTTAAGTATGAGGTTTTACACTACGGGTTCTACTTTGTTGATGTTGCCGAAGGTCTGGGTTTGGTTTCAAGGTGCAGTTAGTTGTAGCCGGTTGAAGATTCTCTCGTTTACTCATTGATCAGAGCGTCTTGGGCATAGAGTTTCCCTGGAGTGTTTCCAAAGATTTCAGATTAACTTGTCGCATCATCGAAGCTGTAGACTCCTTCAAGCCGGTGACAACTACAGCATACAAAAGCCCTGACCCTGGACAACCCATGCAGTTGGTCTCATGAGATATGGGAGCCCTCGCAACATGAGACGGTGGATGCCTGACAACCACTTGACGGTGGCAAACGAGCTGAAGCTTGAGCACAAGAACATTCCTTACAAAGCCAAGCCGTACATGTCAAGCCTAAACCGTACACCCCAAAACCCTTTGTCACGCCATGTGCCACTGCCCGTCCACGGGCAGCCGGCTGTTGGCACCAACGCCAAGCGATGGCGGGCTCTCGGAGCATGCTGTTGAGGCCAAATGTGTTGTTTTTCGCTGTGTGAAAGGGTCCTTGGATGTCCGTACTACAGCAGTATCTGGAAGGCAGTATACCTGCATAAAACCCAGTCGCAGGTATTGGTTTTACGTCGTGTTACGTGCAAGCCTGCTCATCTTAGTTGGCTTTCCATTATGTTCAATTTGGGCAAGGGCGTTATGATTCCGAGCCCTCGCAACCCTCTGCGGGAGCCGAGGTGCAAAAGCCAGGTCTCGTAAATATCGTGGTACTCGAATTCCGGGGCGTCGAAAACCTTGCAAATGTAAGGGTATACTCCAATTCCGGGGCGTCGAAGCTCTGATTTGGTGCACTGGACGACTGTTCGCCGCTGCTGAAAAAAGAACACGCTGTCGGCAATGATGCTTTCGGGCTAATCGTCTTCTAGTCTTCTCTATAGGGGGCACAAGAAGCTCATCTTGCGTGCGTGTGGAGTGATGCACTTCGAAGAGTTTGGCTCAAGCTTTCCATTTTCCGTTGCTGTCATTTGTGTTCAATCCCACCAGCAGAGAGGCAGCTTTCAAGGGATTGTTCTAGCTGCGACATGGAGAAGTTGCAGTGCTTATCAGAGGAAGGGGAGCTTTCTCCGGCGGCAAGAAGGCTTTCGCTGAAAGTCCATTTTATTGCTACATTTTTCCAGATCCCCCCCGGCAGGGTTGCTGCTCTGACATGGATGTTTTCGCGAAATTATCGCATCCGTGCAGGGCATGGTCATGGCAAGTTCAACGGTGCCTTTTCCGCGGACGGCAAGTTGCTGTGTTGTTTCTGGCTGTTTGCGGAAGACGTTCCCGGCCTTAGTCTTTGGGACATGCTTCGCGGCGGGCTTCTGGAGATGCCATTCAGATTTGGATTGACTTCTATGCGCCGACTGCTTGCTGTCGCGAAATGGACAGATGCAGCTTTGGACCGGTTGAAGCAGGAACACTCGAAGCACCTCTTGCTGGAACGCATGGTGGTGTTGCCGGACTACCAGGGCAGCGGAGTCGGCACTGCTGCACTAAGCTTGGCCTTGAAGGAAGCAGACACATGTGGTCGAGCAGTGCCTTGGGCTTCTCTAGTAGAGGATGTGGTTTGAAGGGAGCTTTATAGCGAAGGCACGCAGATTGTCTGTGCTCCTTGCTTGTTACGTCCTGAGCCTCCTGATCTTCACCGTGCTGGGCTTGGGGGTCGAAAACCTGGGCGTCATGCTGCCCGGGCGCTACCTGGTCGCCGGCGGCCACTCGGCCAACGAGAACGCCAGCCCGCTGCTGGCGCGCATGGAGCGCAAGAGGGCCGTGTGGGTGAGCGAAGTTCCGCACCACACCCACTTGAACGAAGACTTTGTGAAGCCGTTCTGCGAGCAGGGCGGCGCTCCCGTGCCGGCAGGCCTACGCCACACCGGGATGGACAATACTTTCTTACATCCGCAAGTTCTGGACGGCTGCCAGAAGTAGAGACGCTTGGATCAGGGTTGCTAGTTAACCGAGCCGCAAAACCAAGAAACGCCGTTGAAGAGTCGGTGCTGACGGGACTTTTTCCAAAGACCCTGCCTTGAGCAAAAATGTGGGTAACCCTTCGTATGCATGATGTTCACTCGTTTGCGATTGTTGCACACCGTTGGAGGTTTCACGGATGCATGTACACATCAAGTGAAACAATTGGTGCGACAGTCTTGGTTTGCTCAGTTTGCATGGTTTCAGCGAAGATGACAATTCCGATATTCTTATTATATTCTTGCCAGGTCTGATTGACGTTGAGAACTTGGCCGAGATCATTCGAATGCGACAACCCAGATTTTTCGTTCAATATTCAGAACAAACTAGCCGCTGCTTCATCAACGTGTATGGGACGCTGCCTTGCGATCAGTGAATTCGCAGTTTCTGGCTCGAGTTTTTGTGGACTTTTGGTCACCTTTGCATTCGTTGCCGCGATGGGGGCAGTTGCTTCTCGTGTTGCTGCCATGTTTGTACCACAGCACATACCTCACTGGCTGCATACCGTCCAGATGTCGTACATGTCGCGACAGACAGCCTTAGGCTTCAGCGTGAGTTCGGAACAATGAAGGATACACAGCACCCTGATGCATGCTCTTTCCGAAAGTGGAGTCTTCCTTTCAGCCGCCAGGCATTTGCAACCCTGCTGGCGAAACGCCAGCACCGGCTCCAGCACCCCCCAAAGCCGCATGCTCCATTGCAGGTGCGCAATGACATGTTGGGGTGTGAAAGCCATGGGCTAGTTCATCCGGTGAGAATGCAGAGCCAGAGTGGTTCGTAGAAACAAAAGCTGGAAAAGGGGTTCGTAGAAGGGGAGGGTCGGATCAGGGGCAAGGTGTTGTGTGGCGGTTGCTCACAAGGAAGGGTTGTCGCGAAGGAATGCCGGACTGCCTGTCTGCCCGGTACTGTTTTGAGGTTATGAGTTCGAGCCGGTCAAGCCCATGCACGAACGGGAGGTCTCGGTTGGCTTGCCGGAGGACCTTGCGCAACAAGCAGCGTGCTGTCAAGATAATTTGTCAAAGTCTGTTTCTTGTGTTCCAGTATATTTTCCGAGAAGCATCTACACGACATTAACAACACAACAGTGAAGATACTGTTTCGCGGTTGCAAGGAACGCAAGAACATGGTATTCCGCCAGACACTGTATCAGACAGCCGTTGGGTTTTAACTCTCAATTCTCAGGACTCGCCGACTCGAAGCACCACAGCTGCATCCGAGTGCGTGGAGGCCCTGGAACGGCTGTTGCACTTCGCAGACCTGTTTCTTCGAAGCATCAGCCGGCACGACCTCGATGATGTAGTTTCGTGTGGAAAGCGCTTTGTTTGTGTCACTGGTGCGGATTGCAGGACAAGCATGCAAGCATCTCGGCCGACTTGAAGGTCGGCACGGGGAAGTTACGTCTGTATGTCTGATTCTGAGTTCTGACGTGCCGACGCCTGGAAAGTGGCCACAGCGACAGGAGCCGGAAGAGATTCCGGAGCCGAAGCCGGCTCCAACTACCCCGATTGTGCTGGAAACGCTGCAGGCGTCAAGCTTTCGCTTGCACAGCATTACCTTCGTCAGTCATTCCTTTCCGGCTTCCGGGTCGCTAGCCGTGCGACCCAACCTATAAAACACTGCCTTCATCAGGGTGATTGGGTGAACAGCATGGGTGCCAAGATTCACGTCGAGGGCACTCAGGCGGGCTTTCGAGGGTGAATGTAGTGGCCTGGTGGTTGGTGAAGCTTTCCAGATCTGGACTCAACTTGTGACAGCAATCACAGGATCAGGGAACGAGAGCTTGTTGGTATGTGGAGTTTTCATTGCCAAGCAGGTCACTCTTGCAGATATCCCGAAGTCAATTTTGTGCTGTGTGGATACAGTTGCGGGAGCTCACTGCGTGTGTATAGATGAATATGAAAGCTCCCAGATGGCGAGGTTTCTTTGAACGGGCTGGTCATGAAGGCACATCCAATCATGCTGAACGAGAACGGCACTGCGCGGGCCTCATGCCGACCGCAAGTCTTGCCAGCAGCAGAGCCATCCAGGACCGGCATGGATGTAGGGGACACCGTGCAAAGACATCGCAGGAAATAGGAACAAGGCAGAGTGATTGCAAGGTCAGCAGTGTGGGACGCCTTTGGCAACTCAATGGATGGTCGGGGCCCAGCTGCCAAGGTCTCCTGCAGTTTCGTTGTTGTCCCATGGTCCCTGAGTGATAGTGATAGCCTTGCATAGTCATCGAGAGTTTTGCAGTCTGGGCCAACACAAACGCCTGTTTCATTGAAACACGGTGTGCAAAAAAGGTATTCCGAGGCTGCTTCGACTTTGGCTTCGGTGAAGAATGATCGAACAACTAGATGTTCCCTAGCCCAGTTTTGTGTCCTTTGCCCGACCGTCTCGAAGGTTGGAGGATGAGAAGGTTGAGTTCAAGGAAGCTCCAAGCAAGGAGATGAGGGCTTGAGCCCACTCGGTATCATGTCAACGCATGGACTGTACTTGCATTGCGGATGAGGGACGCGACGGTGACATGACAGGTTTACGATTCTTCTTTATACTTTATACTGTAGTACAGAAGGTTCACGTTCCTAGTGGTTCTACCCTGTAGAGATGATGCTATCGCGATGACTCATGCAGGAAGTGATGCAGTATGCCCGGTCCGTTGTTTGGAGCAAGGCTCCCATCTCAAGTTGTTTCTACGGCGGTTCGGTTCGACTAGCTAGCCTTGGGTGCTATTTTTTTAGTACGCTCCCCGACAGGTTTCTTCAGAGCGCATGGAAGCCTGGACGAAGCAGATGAAGGCCATGGGCTATGCAGGCGCGACTTGCTCTTGCACTCATCGTTTTGGCGGTTGTCCGCATGTTGCTAAGCTGTCACTTGTCAGGCTCCTCAAACAACCCCCTCGCACGTGGAGTCGAGGACAGAGTTTCAGAGTTTTGTCCGACTGTCTTGGACACTACACATGTCAGCTGCTCGCCTCCCTCTGCAGGGCTGCTGTCCGGGCACATCTGATGCGCATGCAAAGCTGGCCGTGGCCTCGGCGATGCACAGCTGAATGGAGCAGGTTCTCCCTTGTGTTCTCGGTTTGGGTTCTGGGACAGGTCGTGGATGACGAAAACAAGGACAAGGCCCGGTAAACAACACTGCCGCCTTTGTGTGGGTTTAGTGCAGCTTGTGCGTAGCAGGCAGAACTGAAGCTGCTGAATGACCTGATCGCGAAGTGGAGAGTGCCAGGTGTGATCAAGGCTGCTCAGCCATTATGGCCACGGTACCTCAAATGCATCTTGTTCACTTGCTCCGTGTGCAGGTGGCCCCCCGGAAGGTGATTCCGGACTTCAGCAACCGAGGTTCCAACATCATCCCGCTCTTGAAGAGTGTTTATCTTTGCGGTCATCTTTTCACAGTCTTCTTTGCTTTGTAGCTCTGTGTGCTTTTACCAGTTGTTTGTAATTAGTGCAGAAAGACAACCGAAGCAGGATGCCGAGTTGCACGTGTGTGCAAGGCCACACTGGTCTCAGCGTGGAGCACGTGCACTATCTCGCGACCAGTTTCAAAGAGAAGGGCAGCCGGCTTAGTTGATAGTACTTCCGACAGCTCTTTGGATTGCTGGAACGAACCCGCCCAACTTGTTCATCCGGAAGGTTGTTTTTTCTGTTTGTCGAGACTCCCTGGTTTACCATGGGTTAAACAGTCGGCATTCAAGACAGTGTGTCAAAGAACAGCAGTACTTCATGCAGAGCAAAGGCTTCCAAAAGCGAAAAGGCAACGAGGGTCATGACATCCCTGTCCTTGTGCCGGGGCACTCAGCATGTCGAATGGTCGCGCTTTCGATCACAGGCGTTCGTAGCCTGGTGGAATACTCGATGGTCATTGTGCTTTCGGCAGGTGCGAGAAAACCAGCAGCGAGCTTGGACAGAAGTCCATTGAGCAGGGGACCTATGCCACACTGTGACCACAGGCCACTGCACATGAAGTTCTCAAGCAAGAGTCCGATAGCGTTGAACGCTCGTATCCAATCACATAGCAAAAAGCCATGAACTGATGAACTTCGCGTCGTCGTGCGACTTCTTTGCACCAACGACCGACGTTCCGCTGTTCAACTCCTAGAGTCCTAGAGAGCATTGACGCTTGTTATGGCACAGTTGGACATGTGAAGCCTAGAGTGGTCCTTCCCAGGAACTGGAGGTCGAAGCTCAATGATGAGAAGGGCTTTGCTCCACAGGACTTGGAACTCGCTGAAGAGAATGTTCTCGAGCAGATGGTTGTTGCTCTAGCGAGAGAGAGAGAGAGAGAGAGAGAGAGAGAGAGAGAGAGAGAGTTAGCCCTGGGGTCAAACCTCTTGCCCATAGCCCTGGCAAAAGAAAGAGTTAGCCCTGGTCTTCGTCACCTGCACGTTTTGGTGTTCTCTGCTGTTGCTTTTCCTACAAGAGCTGGGGATCCGCAGGCTTGCAGTCGCTTGCACTACTTTGTAGTCCGTCTACCCCAACACTGTGAGCAATGGTACTTACTCACTGCTTCGTACTGTGATTTGGCCTGATACTCAGCTGTTTCCTACAGCACAAACAGGGGAGCGGCTGCAGACACAACTAGCTTACGGGGGGACGAGCGCTCGGTGCAGGAAATCAGGACTTAGCCTTAGGAGGCGCGGAGATGAGACCGGGACGCGGGCTAGAGTACAGGGTCGGGGGATATAGCACCGTGCGCACTCCACCGGTTGCACCAACCTTCGGGGGACAATCTCCCAACGGAGCCCAATGCTTTCTGCCAGCCTTGGCCCAGGTCTGCTTTGCAGACTCTTCCCCCGAGCGAGCGAGTGAGCGAGTTAGCCCTGGTGAAAAAAGAGAAAGAGATAGAGGGAGGGCACGGTTCTCCCAAAAGCCCATGCAGCGTGGGTGCGCCTATTGGTCGGAGAACCTCGAACGTTCCCTTGCCCCGGAGCGAGAGAGAGAGAGAGAGTTCTGCCATTTTGCTCAACTGCTGCACCCTTCCTCTTGCATCGGGGGGGAGCCGGGGGGTTAACCTACTCCGTTTACTCAGCGGTGCTTGAGTCCGTGCTTAAGCGGCCCCTGTGTCCCTTCCGCGCCACCTGACCCCTGACCACGGCCTGCTCCGGGAGTGGCCCGTCAGTAGGGGGAGGGTCATACTACTTCGCTGCGGCTGGAACCGCCGAGGGCGAGATGGCGAGCAAAGCCGCAGCCCGCAGAGGTCAGCCCGGCGGAGGGGGAGAGAAGCCGAGGACGCCCAGCACAAGCCCGAAGACGAGACAACGACCCAGAACTCCCAGCAGAAGCCCACGACGTGCTGTGGAGCTACTACCAGGGCCTATGTGGAGAAACATACGCCGTGTCCAAGACCATATGAGCGCCCACCGCGCGCGACAAAGCCACATGCGAGAGGATGTAGCCGTAGCCGCAGTTTTGCAGGGGGAGCCAGCCAAAAAGTGTAAGTTTGTTGGTCTGCTTAACCAGGTTGCCCCTTGTCCTGCCTTTTGCTTGCGAAAGCCAAGGGGGGGGAGGACCCAAACCTGCATGTACATTTCGATAGTTCCAGTCGATCCTTTGCAACGACCCTTTGTCACGTCCGGTGTGAATTCTTTAAGCAGGAATTGGGGGATGCTACCTCCCAATCCTTCTTAGGCAAGCCCGTTCAACTTAGGCCTGACTTGGCCTGCAATCCTAGTCTCTTTACAACACACCGCCTTGAATGAATTCGGGGGGGAACAGAAGGCCGTAATTCACTTCAGTCGCACCTCGTAGTCCAATGGAAGTCCTTGCTTATACACAGCGGGGAGACGAATGCAAGTTTCTCTTTCGACCCCTGCGGGTGGGGGGATGGGACTTTTCATGCTAAGTTGCTGTTGTTCGGTTGCATGTGACTTGGGGTGTGCACCCGAAACGCGAAACCTGTCCACCTAAGCCTACCTGGGGCGAACCCCGGGGGTAGCAAGGGACACTCCTCGAAAAGCGGGAGTGCGTTCGCGCACGGGGGAAGTGGCCTGGACGCTGCCCCGACCCCCACACCCGGAAGAGAGAGAGAGAGAGAGTTGTAATTTTTTTTCATTGCCCAAACAAGCTGTTCTGTCAATCTGCAAGTCGAGCCCAGCTCCACACCGCCTAGACTATATCATTTGCCATGCTGGGCTTGTTGTTTGAGGGGCGAGTGGAAGTGGGGCGGAACAACCACCCCGGGCGACTTGAGCGGCAGACAAGCATCCCGGAGCTTTTCTTTGCGTTGTATAGTGTATGTGAACTGGGGCGTCAAGGATGCTAGTTGCCGGTACTTTTAGCTTTCCGCATGTAATACCATGCGCCCAGTCAACAGTGGGCAGCCCCTGGCTGGGGGGCTTGCCCCTCAAGCCTGGCGAAAGAAAGAATTCAAAGGGCGAGCCACACAAAACAACACAGTCGTCACAACATCCTAACTTGCTGCAGCTTGCTATGCCTTTGTTAGCAGCCCACCCGGGGTAAAAAAAACCGCAAATAGCGGGTGTGCACGCGCACGGGGGGAGTGGCCCGGATGTTGCCACGAACCTCAAGCCCGGAAGAGAAAGAGAGAGAGCGAGCTGCATCGAAACTGCACTTGGGCCTCATTGTCCCATGCTCAGACGTTTGTGTGTGGCTGTTTCGTTTTGCAAGCGGGAACTTAACTTGATGCGGAGGGCGCATACCTGAGTGTAGTGAATGGCCAGGACTTCTTTAAGTTTCGAAGGCTGTGCACATGCTTTTAGGTTGGTCATGTTATGTGTCGTGTTTGCGTGAAGTGGGGCGGTAATTTGCGCAGCTAAGTTCATGCCCCTGGATGATGCGTCCGTTTTCTGTTGAGGCATGACCTACCAGCGGGTGGGAAAAGCCCGGGTTGGGGAATTCTCTGCCCCTAAGGAATGTTCGTGCTCGAGTTGAGTATGAGTTGAGTATAGCTGAGCACTGGCCTCTAGAGAACAACGCAGCGGTGCGAAAGCCTGAAGCCCGTAGGAATCGGAATGTGTATGCACGGGTTTGTGATTGCGACTTTCGTCTGAAGCCTGGAGACAGAGCTCTGCCTCCAGAAGCTGAGTGAGTTGTAACTTTCGAAGAGTGAGCAGATATCAATCTGTGATCTGCAATGTTTTGCGGATGAAATAAAAAGTGATGCCGTGTTGGGGGGAGTTTTGAGGTGTTTGATTCTTGTGGGGGTGTGTTGCTCGGTTCGTGAGCATTCAGAACCGCCAAAACACGACTACAGTGAACTCTTGAAGCCTACCTTCCGGAAACCCAAGCAACGCCACCCGGCCTGGTGTACAGAATCCGTGTATCTTGTCAAATGGATGAAGATTTGCCCTGACGTCGTGGCATCTCCTCTGTCACTGTATTCTGGAGATGACCACAGCTGTAAGTGGCATTTTCGTAGTCAGTGGGAGGGGCCACACAAAGCTTGCGGTTGCTGGTGACTGTTCCGTTGAATCGGAGAATTTCTCTTTCTGGTAAGGATGACTTGGGTGGAGGATTCATTCGATCTCCCAAGCCGTCAGGGCGCATGAGAGCCTGTCCAACTGCTGTTTTGCAGGAGCACTACGAGCGACTCTTCAGGGGAGAGGCTGGGCACACACGTTGCATTTATTCTCGAAGCTGACTCAGAGCTGTCCAGGAGCTGTACACCTCTCTCGGCAATGGGCACTTCAACCAGGCCGTTACCAGTTTCGTGTATTTCCGGATTTGGTGGGCGTTCAGGTGGCATCGCATCGCGACAGTTTGGCTCTGCGCGATCATATCAGAGCACCTCTGCAGCTGCAGGCTCTGAACCTTTTCTTCCGGGAATGCCCCAGCCAAGATCCCAAAAGAGGGGCCGTGGTTTTTCTGTGTGTCGTGTCTTAATGTGCGTGGAGATCGGCACATCATTCGTTTCTTCTGAGGCATCTACAGCCAAGAGAAGTACACTATTGGCCAGGCTAGCATTGTGTGGGATTGGCTCCATTAGAGTTGAACGCAGCAGGGCATGCGCTAACCTAGCAAAAAATGGATACTTGTAGGACATACCGTAACAAGCTGCCGCGAGGACCGTGATCTGAAGGAGGCTGTCTACCAGGGTGTGGGTGTGGGCCTTTGCTGCATGTGTTCTTGCGCGATGTGGCCGTGGATATCACTCGAAGATTGCAAGATGGGCGTTATGCAGCTGCGCTTTTGCGCTTGCATTCTGTCGAAGCATTTTCCCACGGCTTGTGGTATGTGTCAGGTGCAATCGTGCTGAAGGCTGAGATCCCCTTGAGAGATCGTGCCGGTCCTGAGTTGTGCCGGGATGCTTTTAAACCTACCATCTCGCCAATCAGTGGACCACAAAGGTGAGACTATCAGCAAGCTCCTGAACTCGAAACGTGAGTTTAAGTGGCCGACCTGCCAGCAATTTCTCGCTGATGCAGTTTGTGGACCGTGCTTGTTAGCCATCTTGCCCGCAAATTTTCGAGCCTTGCACTGGTTAGGCTTTCTGATCTCGGGGCCAGGAATGTTCATCCGGATGGAACCCTCGACATCACGGACGCTTTCGAAGACACGCGCACCTGCAAGCAGTTCGAGGCGCTTCCGTAAGGAACACCACACGGCGAATGCGGCGAATGGTGCTTTCTGCTTTGCTTTTGATCAGCTTGTGCTTGCTGAGGCCCTCAGCAAGGTGCTCGATGTCGGGAGCTCAGCTGCCCCAAGTAGCGAAGCCGATTGATGCTTGCCTGTTCATAAACGACCCAACGCTTTCAGGAGATAGTACCAGCTGGGCTTGTGCATAGCAGCACCCAGGCAGTGGAACTGAACTGCTTGGTGAGATCTGAGCTGGGTGTACGGGACAGCCATCGCGTTGGTCAATGACCACTGCTGCTGGTTCCTTCATCTCTCTCCATTGTGCATGGAATAGCGGGCCAGGCGCAGGCGCAGGCGCGTCCAAGAGCGCCTGCATTGCGTCATTGCGCATTTGCCAACTAGACTTCCCGCAGCAGCTTGGCCTGCCCTCTCTTCCGTGGCTTTTCGACGGCAGTCCTCTGAAAGAGGATTGCTTGGTGACGCATTTCTGGGAAGATCTGGGGGATGTCGATGGATCTCCTGGAGTACCACAGAACAGAACCCAGCATTTCAGCGTTTGAGCCAACACCCTTCAAGCACCCGCTCTGTTACATATAAACACATGAAAGTTCTCCTTACCAGAGTGAGACTTGCAGGATTTCCTGGCAATACGTCTCACTTTTGTTCGAAGAGTGGGCTCCTTCCACTCCTGCTGCAGAAATCTATAATGCCCCCACAGAGGAACCTGCTGAGGTTTGTTTCGCCAGAGGCGTGTGGCGCGTCCAGAGCGGTGCGATTCGCACGCGAGTCCACTTCCGTTTGATTTTGGGGTACAGAGGGGCACTCGGTGCACCGACATGCTTTCATCCTGTTGACGATGATGTCGCGATTGTGATGTCGGTGGGTGGTTTACTGACTGCTAGCCTTTCCAATCTCTTTTTGATACTACACGCAGTCGCAACCTTATTTTTTCAAATGTTGAATTCGTGCTTCAGAAAATGCATCCCGGCTGTGAAGCCACTGGACAGATGCAAGGTCAATACTTTTATCAATATTGGCCTTCCGGTGCTGCCTTTTTGGCAGCCGGCCTGCAATTCCTCGCTCTTTTTCAAAGTCGCTATGATTGCTCGTGTGGGGCCCCCCTCCTTCGGCCATCTGGGCACTCGTGCCCGGATGTCGCTCTTGGTCTCTGTACTCGAATCAGTCGGAGGGGGTGGCCAAGATCATCTTGCCTGTCCATGTTCCAATGAAAAGACCTCTTCAGGCTTCCGAGGCTAGCCTGACCAGTTGAGTCACGGTGCAGACTGGCAACGTGGTGTTGCGTGCGCTACCATCGTCAGATTCCGGCTCACTTTGGCGGTCGCTGGTCGGCCGGCCGATGGTAGGACAGTACATAGGAGACAATAACACGATTCCTTCGTTTGCAGCTCCAGCACCGCCTGCAAGTTCTGCTTTAAGCACAAGGGGTAACAAGAAGGCCTATGGGACTTCGTCTAAGAACTGGCAGCTGAGATGGAATTCTTGGCTCGTGGGCAGTTGCCCGTTGCTGGGGCCCTTTGTGCATTGATCTCAATCTTTTTAGACTGATTGTGTAGCTCTGCTTCTATCCGTCGCCATGATCCGCTACACGAAGGGCGCCTTTCTGCCTCTTGGGGTGAACTTGTGTAGTCCTGCCGAACAGGTCAGTTTCTTGCTATGTGCTCGCAGATCATGTTCAGTAGAGAGATCTGCAGCAGGATTGTAGCAGGAGGCAGAGGAACAGAATCGTGAACATATGCGGAGGAGCAGGAGGATGAGGTGGAAGGAGCAGAAGAAGCATCAGTGGTAGTGGTCGTGCTGGCAGACGGTAGTAGTCATGGCCGGAGTCGCGGTGGTTGTTGTTTAATGATGGAGGCAGCAGCGGCTACGGCACCGGTAGGAGTAGAGGTCAGGTCAAGTCATTCTGCTGTGCCTGCTATGTGCGGCTACAAATACTACCGCTGCACTTCGCAACCACTACCAGAGCGATGACGGCAACCATGAGGGAGGACAACTGCCATCATCGGGGCGGTGATTACTAGTGCAGCTACGATGCCGGTCGACCACCACCGTAGCCTCCTGCATTGCCGTTTTCATGACTTGTTGCCGGGTTAGTCGTTTGTCCGATGACGGCCACTACTCCTGCTGTTTGTTTACTGCTGCTGCTGCTGCTACAACTGCGGCTGTTGATGCTGCTGATGCCACCACTACTTTACTGCGGCTGCTGCCATTGCTGCTGCAGTTGCTACTACTGCTGCTGCTACTACTCCTTCTTCTCCTGTTGCTAGTGCCGTTTGTGTTGCCGCTTTGGCTACTGCTGCTGCTGCTGCTTCTGGTGGTGGTGGTGGTGGTGGTGTTATTATGGTGTTGTTGGCGTCACTGTCGTCGAAACGGTCAAGCCGTTTTGCACTACCAGGCAATTGCTTGTACTCGCGTTACTAGGGCGCTCCGGACTGCCATTCCTCAACAGTTGTTAGCGCAAGACCTCCCGGCAACAACTGCCGAATACACAGCCAAAGGCAGACTTTTTTTTTAGAAATGCTTTCTGGCACAAGTTCGTTCCTGCATGACCTCAGTCATTGCATCTTTTCGTGACCGTTGCCCTGTCTCATCATGCATGAAAGCCATGTGCAAACCCAAGTTCTTTGCTGAGGAACCTCTTCTACTGGTGGGGCGGCATCAACCGCCACCTGGTAATAAACTCCGTCACTTGGCTTTGCAGAAAGAGAGTAAACTTTGCGGACGTGGCTGCCTGGTGGCAGGTTTCTACATTGCTCCGAAAGCAAAAGTTGTTGCATCACTATTGATTTGTCTGCCTTCGTGCGCACAGACCTGGCCCACGAGTAGGTCCTGCCTTTGTTGGCATTCCATCATTGTAGGTGTCTGGTCTCATAGCCACATCTCCAAACCTCGGCCTGACTACCAAGGTTTACTACTTAATCTTCCTGCTGATCTTGTACTATGTGCAGCTCGGCTACGAACCGGCAGAGCACTCGCAGATACGTGCACGACAACAAGGCAGTTGCTACTGCCTGCCACATTGCTCCCCGAAAGGCACTCTCGGTACCAGCAGGTGAGTGGAGATCCACAGAGCAATTTTCTTTGAGCTTCCTCTAGAAATGCTCTAGATGTTAGTAGTGCTCCGCGGCACATTTGCGATGCGGTACTTGCGAGCGAAGAACTCTTTGCCATGTCAGTCAATCGTTCTGTCAAGCTTGGCTGAGGCAGAGCAGGTATCCAGTCACACAGGTCGACTCTTCCAGCAGCGGCCCATACCTCAGCGACTGGGGCCCTGGGGGCCTTCAGGTTGATGCCAGCTGCCCTCGCTTCGGTCGCTTCGGTTGCTGTCCTTGACGAGTGGGGCACCGCAAAACTGTTGTATTGACGGCGTGATTTTCCAGAGGCTCATGTCTTAAGTCTGGAAGCGCGGAGCCTCCACGGCCAAAACTAAGCACTCCCGACCGAAAGTCAGAGGCCTGCCTCTTCAGGCCGAAGTGAAACCGCTGATCTGAACTGCTTAAGGTATATCGATGCTGGGCAGTCCTGCTCTGAGAGATTGAGCAGCAGAATCTCTGCCATGCTGTTGCCACCTTGTCGAAGATCAATAGCGAAGCACGTGGCTGTCGCTAGGACGGTGAGGCATGGCGTGGCTACATTCAGGGAATTTCAGGGACCAGAAGCCTGACATGGCGTGACATGCTCTTCTGCATCAAGACCCTGCCTGGCCGTTCAAGGTCTCACGGTGTTTCTGCTTGTGTTCCGCTGGGGCCACAGTCTCTTGCGTGCTTTTGTCTGGGACAAACCGGGAAGGCCCGAAGGTCAGACACATGCTGCAAGAGCACGACTGCGCTTGCTGCACCACTTCGACTTAGGCATGAACCAGTCCATGGCTCGAAACAACGAAGCCACGCAGCGAACAGACGTCGCTTGGCTTTGGACAAGCATTTGGGCTTTCTGCAGCGATTAATCATCACAGACTTGAGGAGCGTGCGGTTCCCAAAACACAGTTTCTCATGACCTGCAGAGTCTTCTTTGCTTGATCTTTCGGCCAGGAGATGTTCGGAGAGCTGGACTTCTTAGTTCACTCTGTCTGCACATTCATGCAAGGCACTGCTCCGGACCATGTAGATGTTGGTCTTGCAGCAGCTTGTTTGTTGAGTCGAGTCTGACTGGGGGCTGGATCAAAGTCGGCTCACATTCAACGCTTCTTCTTGATGGAGAAACTGTAGGTTGCCAGGAGTCGTGGGCTGTGTGAGCTCTATGCAGCAATGCAGGTGCTGGCGAAGATTCGCTCCAAGAATTGGTCATGAATCCAGCACGAAAGCGCACCGAAGAGGACAGGAACTGAGTTAAGGGCCCTCTAGACAGGGTCGATGTATACCTTGCTGGCTAAGAGGGAGTTGGAGGGACGGATTACATCGACTATCTGCTGTTTTCCAGGAGATCCGTGTCATGCGCCTGCACGGGGAACCAGCCTCGGCTGGAAGTGTGGGGCAGCTTAGGCCGTGCAGATTGCCGTTCCGGACAGCGCGTGTTTGAGAGCGATTGTGACACTGTTGACATGAGGACCGTAGACACCATAACTTCACCGAGCAAGCAGGCACATCCAGAGCCGAATGTGCAGACCTGACCTGTCTGGCCTACTCTCAGGAACTTGCCTCGGCGGTTCGGATCCATGTGGTGAGGCCGGTTTTTGCAGTTTCTGGTTGTATGCTTGGCATTCAAAGATGCGGCGGACGCAAATATGTGGTGTAGACATAGGTAAACTGTTAAAAGTTTCTGAACACGCATGGTTCGTGCCGACAGCTTAACCTTGGCCTGAAGAACAGCTGACTTGAAACAAAGCTGTCCCCTTGCGAAGTGCGAGTTCCTTGGATGTCACAGCGGCAAGGCTGACGATCGCCTTTGGCGTGAGCCGCTGGTCTGTGTTCAGTGGCTCCCAGTGGCGGTGAATCTGTGTTCGCATGTCACGGCATGCAGCTCGAGAATGCGAGCACGTTCATGCATACTTCTAAGTATTACTCACGGGTCAAGCATCTTCAATCTTGAACTCCAGGTGTTCTTTTGTACTTCCGTGTGCTCTGCGCCCTCTCGGATGCACAAGGAGTACTGGAAGAAGAGGCATGCGACCTCATGGCTATGTCAGATGAATGAACATGGACAGCCTGTAGAAGTGAGCCACTCATCTGCCATTGTGGCGACTAATGAAGTGCCTGACAGGATTTGGTGCAGATCGTTTTTCTGCACTGTCGCCTGCAGGCACGTCCAGGAGAGTTGAAGATTGGTCATGTCTTTGTGCTAGTTCCAGCAGCTACAAGCCACAAGGGCAATACTCAGACAAGCACAGAAGTCGTTGAGGTGAGTCACCAATAGGTGAGTCACCAATCTTGACAGCGTAGCTTGAGTAATGAAGGTAGATGTGTCGCGGGCACGTCTCAGCTTTTCCGGAATTGCAGCATTTTGAGCCGCTCCCAAAAGCGAGTGAATCAGATCTCTGCCAAGAGTCCTTCGTACCGATTGGTGGTTTAGACCACGACCCACGACTCGCTCCTGCGATTGTAGAGAGAAACTTTCAAAGGCATGGCGAGAATCATAGCGGGCTGGCGAATAAAACTTCAAGATTCACGCAGAGATGGACAGCAGGGTCGGAGATCTTTCTGCCAGTGCTTGCTTTGCGTCATATCCTCAACCGCAGGCCTTGTTGTATGAGGAGGAGATGGAGGTTGTAGATCAGTACGTGGCGAAGTTGCACTGGGGGACCTGGTTTTCTTGCAGGTGCACCAAGTTTATAGCCCCGATTGAAGGTTCCCATCACATGTCATCCGCGTGTGCAAGGTGGGGATCACTCGCGAGACAGATGGAAGCCAGGACCTAAATATGTGGTCTCTGAAAGCCTGCGAGCTGAGCTTGGAGTTCCCAGCATGCAGAAGTTACTACAGACTTGCTTCTTCCTTCCGGCGTCTCATTCCCCACCGGTGCTTGGATGGGCAAGTGATCGTCCGAAACGCTTTCGCAGCAACGCAAAAAGTTGGCAGAAGTGAGTTGACTGGACTAGACGAGGTGGTTTGCAAAGGACTTGGGTTGTGTTTCCGAAGCTTCGTGCAATGGCTGAGTCATGTCATGTCTGTTGAATCAGTTCTTGTGAAGAGTGTTTGCCATAAGAAGCTTCCTGGCGGAAAGTTGTCGACCTTTGCGTGAGAAACCAGACGGAACTGCTATCCAGTAATGAACTTGGTTCTGGGTTTGGCACATGGGCACTATACTGTGGACAGATACCAGCACACTGCAATAGGCCGGACAGTAAGTGTCACGTTGAGTTCGCTTGCCAAACTCCAGGCTACGATGGCGAAGCTGAGTACAGAGCTGAGGTGCCCTGCGTAGCCGACTCAAGCAGTCCGAGTTCGGAATTCATGGTGTGTCACAGGTTGGGCGGTTCCGGATCGCCAGCCACTCTGCCGGGCTGCTGCCAAAGACTGAGTTCTTCTTCCATGCCGGCGTGCCAGCCGTCTGTGCGACTGGACTTTGAGGATGCGACCACGCAAGACGGGGGACACAGAGGACGAGGCGTGCTCGAAGTGTCCAAGTGTTGCTTGAGAAGGTTATGGTGACTGCATGGCCGCTCCAGATTGTAAAGAGTGCTTTCTTTCGAGATGTGTTCTCGCAGTGGCAGAAACGGCTGTCTCTTGGCTCGATGCATGGGGTTCGCGTGGACTGTGCCAGCTGCAGCTTACGAAGCGGCAGCTAGACGATGTCAATTTGTTGGTCGGTCGTGGTGTCCAGTCGTGCATCAGCAGTTATAGCTCCATGCATTGTGGAGATTCAAGCGATGCGAATCTGTCGTAGTGAACGCTGCCGCCGCAGCCATGTTTGACTTCGATGCGCTGGAGCATTCGGAGGCGAGTGCGCAGCCTGTGACTTTCTCTCAAGCCGATTCCGGCGACCTTTTCACAGAGGGCTTGAACTTCCCTGTCGGTGCCTCGCCCGCGAGTGCCGAAGGGTAGACTTGCCCTTTAGCTTGTGTTATGACGGCATTGTGAGTCAAGGATCACTTCTCAAGTCGGTCGCTCCTGTGAGAATGCGTACAGAGAAGATGCCTGGTTGCAAAACATTCGCGAGTCATGCGCCATGACAGGATCATTGAGGAGAGATGCTTGGGATGAACTGCTGCGTGGAAATCTAGAGCCAACGGTCCCTGACGGGTACATCAATGATAGAGTATGTCTCGTGGGGTGGGATGTTGTTTGCAAGAGCAGTTCGTCGGGAAGCTCTTACGGTTCATGAGAGGTTTCCTCAGAACTGTGCTCATTGCAGGATTCTGTTTTCAAGAGATGCACCCCGCATCAGGCCGCAAATTCAGCTTCAAAGCTTTAGTCTGAACACCTCGTGTTCGTAGCCAAACGCTTCGGAAGATGCTTCCTGACAAGACTTCATCATCCCACCCTTGCTTATCCCGAGGAATCTTGACAGCCGTTTGGTTTGCACGAAGCCTGGCTCAATGGTGAATGACCCAGTATTGGGCATTGAGAGCTTCGGCATGTTGTGGAAGCTGGACATCCTCACACATGGCGTTCTTACCAAGGATCCAGCCGGGACGGATCGCTGAAGTGAAGGCACCACTCCCACGGAATTAGATGCAGCTATCGGGGTGAAGACGACGCAGTACAGATGCTTTGGATAGTTGCAATGGGCAAGTCTAAGTAGGATCCGCCTTCAGAAATCAACATGCATGCCTGGACTCGTAACGTATGCAATCGTGCCGACCGTGTGAGGTAAGACAGTGTATGCTAGAGAAAGTCTGTGCTTTGTCAAGTTACATCAAAGGTGCGTCGGTGTTTGCTGTTTGAGCTGGCTAAGCGAAGGTCTCTTGAATGGCTGTTACCATTTCGGCTAGAGGACCCCGCTAAAGCGAGAGGCAATGTTGAAGGGGTTTGTAGCGAAGATCGCTAGAGACCTTCTCCCGTAGCGAGCAGTTGTGCCTCAACTTGCTAGTCCTGTAAGTTTTCCGGTGTACAAGTGGGAGGCGTTGCAGGGAGGCGGTGGATTGATGGTTGATGTAGATGCTAGGGCGCGGTTCGGAATCTGTGTTTCCGCATGCTTGTACCGTTCTGGCAGAGTGTGATTCCTTGCTACAAGCTTGCATCTGTGGCAAACCAGTGAGTATCAAACGGCACCTGGGGCCGGGCCCTTTTCCTGCCAGGCTTGCTCCGGGCGCAGGCTGTTCATCATCTGTGGCGAGCAGGACCAGTGGCTGTATGGCTCTATGCCGTGCCGCGGGCCCTGAACCCCACGAATTCAGAATTGCGATTTGTCCGATGATTCTACTCACACGACCTTCATCAAAGACGTAGCAAGCTTGCGCTTGCTGTCCTTCACCCATTCTGGTCGGAGCTTGTGAGAGAAGCATGTTTTCCTGACTGCTGCTTGAAAGCTCTCGTGCAGGAGGGTTGGGTGTCCGCTATGGCGCTGGCCACCCGGCTAGGGGAGGGCATTCGACAGTCTGTTGAGACCTTTGAAAGGTGTTGTGCAGCTGTCGAACTTGATCTGCGAGTAGCGACTGGTAATGCAAAGCCTAAACACCGTTGGAGCAACTAAGGATGCAACCATCCTCTGGCAGCAGGAGAACGGCAACAGCTGGGATCAGACTGAAGACCTTCGACAGACGCTCCGTGTGAGGCCGGCAAGTGTCGAAGGGAGTCAAACAAAGAATTGAAATGAGCACCTTGCAGCAGATTTCGGCGTCAGGTATTGGTGGTTTGCCGGGCTAGTTTTGCCTTAAGCCTTAAGTGCTCAAAGTCGTCAGGTGACTTAGCCTCGTTGCCCTTGGAAAGTGTGGTAAGGCTTGTTTCAGCAGCCGCATGTGCTCAGGCTATAGCTTAGATAGCGATCTAGTTTTGCGAAGCAATTTGAAAATTGAGAGGCCGTTCCGAGAAGTTGATCGTCCGTTTCTCCAGCCTCTAAGCGGCATGGAACACAGTGGGTTATGGAAGTCCACGGGATCATGCGCTGCGGTCGATGCGAGGGGCGAGACAGGTGTGACACAACAGTCCATGAAGTCAGAGTCAGAGTCGCATGAAGTGCAGGGTCGGCTTGAGTTCACAGCTTCTGCCTGATCTGCAGCTGCACGAGGCGTATCGAGGCACAGTGCTTTGGGCTGCGCGATCAGTCCTTGCATCTGTGGCTCTGCATAGTCAAGCATATCCGGGTGTTCCTGAGTGGTGCTTCCCGTTGCCACTCACAACCCAGTGACGCATCCAGGTGGCTGATGGAAGCTGCAGCACCTGGTTCCCGCACGTGCGTCGATGTTGCCGTTGTCGGCTGCACGGCACGAATGGGGATTCGCAGAGACGATGAAACTTAAGCGGCGAAGGAGAAGCTTTCAATTACTGTATGTGCCACATCTCTGAACTGAGACTCTGCGGTGGCGGGCTACTGTGCTTGGCGCCTCGAGGGTGATCTGCAGCCGCAGCCTCCGAATTCCGCAGAGCGCAAAGAGGGACATCACTTCTACTGAACTCAGCCGGCCCTGTAGCGTCTCAGCCTGTCAGCCTTGCTTGGCATAGTGTGCCATCATCACTCAGCTCCCCGGTGCTCTACGTCCTCAGCTTGGCGGTGGAGGCAACCCAGCGCAGGCGGGGCTACGCCGAGGAGCGCCTTGTCCCGAACCCGCGAATCTACAGGCTTCCAACCGAACGCGCCTCGGTGTCCACATATGTTCGGCTCTGTATGGATGCGTTTGATGTAAGAGTGTTGGAAGAAGCAGGAGTTGCTTCGCCATGCAATAAAGCGCGGCGAGAGCAGCGGTGCGGCTGCTGCGACTTTGCATGTGCGTGTGCGGATCCCCAGCCGAAGGTTGCTGTACCGAATAGAACAGATTCGAGTCGAGTTTGCGCTTCGTAGCTTTTCTGAATTCCTACTTGCAGCTGCATTCTTGGCAGGTCGACAACAAGCCGGCCAACTCTTTGTACTCTCGCTTAGGCCAACATACTGGGTCGTGAAGTTCAACATGCATGATGGATTCAACATGTGGCCACAAGTGCCTGCACGCTTGAAGGCTTTGTTCTTGTTGCTCACGTTCACGACTACTACGGGAACTGCGATGCTTGGGAGCTGTTGAGGCCACATTCTCTGTGCCAGCGTGCATCCCAGATTTAGACAGCTGTGCACAGTTGAAGTTTAAGCCGCAGGGAGCTACCTGCCATGGTGAAGCGCACCGTGGATCACACACGGGTACGGAGCTTAGATGATCTGTGTTATGTGTGCCCAATAGTGCTTCAGTGACCTGATGCTAAACATTGCTGAACCTTTGTATCTGCAGCGGCTATTAGTGCTGTCTCAGCGAGTTACAAGCCTGCTGTGTGCTTTGCTCCGTTAAATCTCAGCAAAGCATCAGACGAGGGGCAGCAACTTGCATTGATGACTTGGATGAGGTGCTGAAGCTGCGTGCTGAAGGAATCCGGGTCCGTATGCTGACTCCCGATAGACTCCACAGCTATCCAACGATTGTCTGTCGCATTTTGTTCTGGTGCAGGCTTTCCTCAAATCTGCGTACTCCGGATGCTGCAGTGGACGCACAACAGTGAGGCGAGGAGCTACATTGCATATTCCAAGCTGTCTGAGCGCGTCTGCACAAGCTGCGTGTAAGCCTCCTCGCAGTGCCAAAGCTCTCAAGGCCATGGCCGCCCTGCTGGCAGCTGGTGAGGTGCCTATCGTGGACTGCCAGGTGCCTGTCAAATGATACCTACATCCGGGCCTACGCATCGCTTGCTGCTGATGAAGGTTTCTGCTGTGCAGGATGTCATGCGTCAGGGTGGCCGAGCTTTGGGCAGCAGCTGCCGCATTGTTGGAAAAAAGAGCTGGCTCCGTCTTCAGCAGCGATAGACCACTTGTTTGAGACACATGCAACACAACTCCACTCAGAGCAACAACCACACTCACAACGGCACTGGCACTTGCATGCACACCCCAACCTCATTCAGCTTTATCTTCTTCGTTACACTTTCCTGCGCACTTCTGATTGTTGTCGCCTTTCCGGGTGACCAGTACGCTCAGAGGACAGGGACATGTTAATATCGTACAGAAACGGAACATACGGGACAACTAAGACAAGACCAAGTGGAAAAAGAAAAACAAGGACCCCCAGATGAACGAGCACGCAGACAAGTCTCCCAACACGAACAAGCCACGTGAACACAAGATAGGCAGGAAAAATAGACGACCCCGAACATGAATGGTATCCATGAAAGTGAACGACAAGGCCGTAAGTACAGATGAGAGAGAGGGAAGCTCGACAAGGCATAAAGGAATGAGAGACCACCGAGCATGAACCAAGCTTAAAGGATAGACACCGAACAGCATGGGAGCATGGGAACAACTAGATTTGCGTTTAAATTAGGTTCTTGCCCCACGAAAGCTTTTAAACGCATGGTTTCACTTTTTGTTGGTTTTGTTGCCGCCATGTGTTTTAGTTTCTTCAAGAGGTCATTGCTAGTTGTAGTTGTTTCCAATTGTTGTTTCATTGCTTCGAACTTCTATGGTTCCAAGAGGTCATCCGGAGCCCAGGGTCACAAGCGTTGAATAGACGGGTTCTTGCACTTCTTTGGATGCTGGAAGGGGGCTCAAGTTCGCACACTCTGACCGACCTTCCAATATGCTCTGGCTTCGAGTAACCCATAAGACGTTTCTTGCGACCATCTCGGCGTGTAGTAGACCGGGAAGCTCGATCATCAACAGGGCCAGCAGAACCTCTTCACGGCTTCGCGTCGAGACTCCAAAAATTGGCTTCTTCGAAACTTTCTCTTTGGGTTGCGTTTTTCTCATCGCGAAGCACTCCTTGCCATAAGACCACTGCGCTGTTTTGTCAAGTTTAAGAGCCCCCACCGAAAAGCCAGCTTCAAACTCTTTTTTCAACAACGTTAGTTTCGTATGTTCAGTGCTTGCAGCAACGGAAGGATTAATTGGTGGAGCACAGTTGTAAGTCAAGGTCCTGTGGCATTGCGATGGAAAGCCATGAAGCCCCAGTTAACGACATACAAGCCCGTGTGATTAAATAGTATCCGAACGCGATCAAGGGTGCCTAGGATCCTTACTTGTTATTTCAGTTCGGTAGGATCCTTCTCAACTTCTGCCTACATTCAGATACGAAGCGCTGAACTGCGAAGTTGCAACGATGGTTGTTCATTTCAGACCACTATCTGCACAGCATCGCTCGAGAATCAAGGCATTAGCTTGGCAGCTGCCCGCCGGCATGGCGGCTAGAAGCTACTTGTAGCATGCATGTGTGCGTATGTACATATGTATGTATGCAGGTAGGTAGGATGTGTACACATCCTTACACTTTTACACATGTTGTTTTACACATGAGGGCTTATACTCACATAAAGACAGAAGTCCATACTTCACAGTGTTTCGCGTATGTATGTGTTGTTGTTCAACATGTTGTGTTTGTAGGCTATACAAGTTAATTCGGATGTATGCATGCACTCATGTCTAGGTTCTTACTTTCGTCTGGTCTACATGTATGCACGTGTGCTTGCACTTACAAACCACTTGATGTGTAGGTATGTGTATATGCAGACACTTACGTATCACCTGTATTTAGAACAGGCCTGTAACATTGTTTGTACCCAGGTTTTTGGCTGTTTTACTCTCTTTCTACTCTTCTCTCTCTTTGTCTGACTTCAAGTGGTCGGTTTTGGTCTATATATGTGTATGAATAACTCCAACTGTCTCCTTGATCTATGCAGATTTCTGTCTAACTAACTTGATATGTACTCTATCTACTTTCTATCTGCCTACTTGTATCTATCTGCGTGTCTCTGTATGTTTATGTAGTTGTGTTCCTGGACTTGTGCATTGCCAACACAGCAGCCGTTGCAAAAGCCTGTGCTAAGGGGTTTGTGCTATAAAAAGCTTTTGGACCAACACATGCCAATCTTCGTTGTTCAGGACTGTGGCTTCGTTCCGCAGACCTGTGACATCGCGGCTCGGTGCAAAGGGGTCGGGCATTACTAGTACTGGTATGACTACTACTACTACTACTACTGCTACTACTGCTACTACTACTACTACTACTGCTACTACTGCTACTACTGCTACTACTGCTACTACTACTACTACTGCTACTACTCCTACTACTACTACTACTACTACTACTACTACTACTACGACTACTACGACTACTATGCAATTCGGGCATCCTTTGACTTGTAGCAGCGAAAGCCTCGTGAAACCCCAACGGGCCGAACGTCTCTCCAAGGTTCCGGCACTACCAAAGGCCGGGGCTCATGACTCCAGGATGAACACAATTTGAAGCAGATGTTGGCACGTTTGGATCACTGCCTCAGTCTGTGTCCTCTCAACAAGCTATGTTACTAAACTTACCCGGGGCATGTGGTGCGGAGGTGATCCTGAGCATGCTGACGGAGGTTTGCCATACCCCCATTGCGCAGAAATGGGGTTACCCCGAGCGGGTTCGAGTCTTAGCTGTTTGCAGAGGCTGCTGATTCCTTCGGTTTTTCTCGGCCCATCCTTGCACGTGTCGGCGTGCGCTTTCAGGTTCTGAACTTGATAGCCGACATCACGGCGGTTCTTGCCTCGTTGCTCACTTCTGTTTGCATTTGCATAGTCGGATGAAGAGCTGCACGTTGGGACCAGGAGAGTTCCTTCTGTTCCGATTTGAAGCAAGCTTTGGCTAGTCCGCCGCGCTCGCGCAATCCTTCTGAGCACAGTATTGGTTGCGGTGTTGAGATCAGGATGCTTTGGACCAGCTGACGCACCTGGGGGGTCTGATTATGCGGCCGGTCTCGCTGGCATACTATCAGTGCCCTGAAGCAAAGAGACGAAGAGGTGAAGCGCGAGCCGCATTAACGAGCTTTGCTGCCGCCCAGGCATTGCCGCGTGATTGTCGCAACCCGACGCGATGGAGGGGCACCGGGGTTTTCGGGCTTTGGGGCATCTTTTTTCAAAGTACTTGTGAAGCAAAGGCGCTCTTCACCTTCATGTGGCCAATGGTGCACAAGAGGAGCGTGCACCTCAGCACTTTTGGTTTTTACTCGAAGCGGGGTCCCTGACGGCGGAGCTGCTCGTTTGCTCCAGAGGCTGTGCTGTGCTATTCACCAACGGATCCGCAAAATCCAAAGCCATCCGTTTTTGTTGTGTTGGGGTCGAGGTTCAGACTTTGTTGGCAATATTTTCGCTGCCTGGCTGCAATGCGCGAAGTCTGCCGAGCGCTGTAGGCATGATATGTGTGATATGCATTTGGGGCAGGACACAAGCATCATCTGAATGTTCTACTTGTAGGGACCTAGCTCCTGTTAAGACTTTCAGGTTGTACTCGAGATGTTGACATTTCAAGCTTCAATGTGGGCAGGTCATGGCACAGAAGCTTTTTGTTTAGCTGCCATCTTTTGATGTTTCAGGACGCCATCGTGTTCCCTTGCGTGGTCTACTGGGCGACTTGGTTTTGATTCACAGCAAATCGGGCACAAGCACCCAAACCCTCGGCCTCTAAGGCCATGTCCGGCCTCGAGAGGCCAAGAAGCTCTCTGCTCTCTGCTCTCTGCTCTCTGACACGAAACCCAGCCTGCTCCAGGCTCGCAGAAATGATGGAGAACCCTGTGGGTGATGACGACACGGACATCGATATGATGCAGCAGATGCATGAGCTTGAGGCAGTCTCGCCTTCTCTCGGTAGACATGTGGTTTGGACCTGCTTGTCGTATGTGCCGCATTGCTCTGCGGAACTGCATGGATCCACTGCATCAGGTTGGACTGCAGCTGTCCTTTGAGATGTCAGAGGTCCGCCGCAGCGTGATGAGGAGGATGCCAATGCGCAATGCCGTCCGTTTTGCTCAGCCGGTCGAGCTCGCGTTTGCTCCCTGATTGGCATGTATTTGGAGCACTTGTCTGTCCTTGTGTTTGTTCTCCATCTTTGCCGGGTTAGGGTGTAGGGTCTTCAGAGTTCCACAGCTCAAGCATTCGTCTGCAATACGTGTCACGTTCTAATCTGCTGGTGTTCCTGGGCCTGGTATAATTCTGAAGATCACAGCAGGACACTGGCGAAAGGATGCCCCAGCTGCACTGATGCAGCAAAGGCTTCCCACGGGACGACATCCGACAGACTTGTACTTTGTAGACCTGATCAACTTGTTTTTTCTATCTATCTATCTTTCTGAATAAAAATATACATGTAAATACATACATAGATATAGAAATAGATGAGTGTATATATACACACACATACACATACCTATGCACATATACACACGCATACATACACATCGACATACCGATAGATACACGACGTCCATACCCAGCCTGAACCCGGATCGTCTGGTAGTAAGCGGAAGCATTGCTTGGGATCTCAGTCAGGGCTGGGCTGCAAGAGAGCCTTTCTGTACAAGAGGGTTTGCAAATCCGTGGTCTCATGCAGTGTGGGCAGTCTTCCGTGCAGTGTTGTGTCGCAGCAGGCGAAGATGCCGCCTTTGGCGCCTGCTGTCCAGTTTCAGGTCTGGCCTGCACTGCTTCCCTCTGTCTTTTTTGATCCATGCGTGCAGTCTTGCGAGGATTACTTCTGTTGGTTGCCCCTACCATCGGCTATCGCAGAAGGCGTCCAAACCTCAGCGAGACTGGAGCTGTTGTATTGTCCACAAATCAGAAAAAGGTTTAGCACCGCACTCGTGATCTCATCCAGCATCTGCGTGGAGACTGCAAAGCTGATGGCTTTTGTCAGAAGACTGCATTCTCAGATGACCCTCAAGCACGGGCATGTCGACCACGCCCACACAGCCTTTTTGGAGGCTGGCTTCATCGATTGCACTGTAGTGTTTCCCTCTGCCTCGCCTCCACCTCGCCACAGGGGCACGTCTCGGACTTTCGCGGCTTTCTACGCAAGGCATTGCGCCGGTGCGGGATCCCAGCCTTCCGCAGGCTGTCTGCGGGATTCGGAGCTCAGTCTCGATGCGCGGACGTCAACAACAGGGCACGGCGCAAGCGCGAGAGGTGACGACCGGCTTTCAGTCTCGACTCTGTCAGATTTGGAGTCGGAGCAGTGCTTCATTGGGTTCTGAGTGCTGTAGGGTGACTGTTGCAGCTGGCGCATGTGCAGCAGTGCATACTTATGGATTGCAGGGTAGCCGGGGCCGGGACGGTCAAGGCACAGCGCGGGCCGACGCAGCCCCTTCGAGGCCATCCCGGAGGCCGGGACGGGCAGAGACAGAACTGCGGGCTTCAGGGGCTCTGTGAGCAAAATGTGATCCGAGTGCCGATGCTGTGCCTCTGCTGCCCAGGGAAGCTACTTACTTGGTAGCATAGCAGCATACAGCAGCCATCCCGAATCTGCTGCCACCTGGGATCAAGCGTTTGCGGCCATCGCTCTTCTTGGGCACGCGATGCAAGCCTTATCCTCAGAGTCAGGCTTCGAGTCTTTCTTTCAGTCGTTTCAGCCTCTCCCGGCCCGGCCTGCACCAAGGCCCCAATGCAGCCATCGAACGCAGAGGAGCCGAAGACACCGGCAGCGACTGAATCTCCTCGTGCTGCCAAGCAAGGCTCAGCTTCGCTGCAGGGAGTTCTCTTCCCGTGTCTTGCAGCTCTTGTGGCAGCTCTTGCTGCCCTCGCAGATCTGCAGAACATCGACAGAAGCGGAGCCTGGCTCAGAGGGAAACTCGCAACATCACGCAGCAGCGGGGCCTGGCCATGTTTCTTTCCTTCTCTGGTCTGGGGGTGCCCCTTTTCTTTCCTTCGCCCAGGGCGTAGTCCGACACGGGGATCCGCAAGGCTTGGCTCTCAGCCGTGACTCAGAGACACGCTGGGACCTGCTGGGATCTCGAGGGAGCGAGCCACCAGTGCAGCCTCGCCGGATCCGTGCCCGGAAGACGAGCGCTTGAAGCGGCCGCCTGCCAGAGATCCCTTAAGGGCCTTGACGGGCTGAGCCGTTGAGATAGATAGCAGAGTCGCAAGAATCTGAGGATCTTCGGTCCAGATGGCCTGCCCCCAGCTCCGTGCCCCTACAAGTGTTCTGCCTCTTGACAGCAGCAAAATAAGTACACGACGAATCCACCAGCTGTGGAGCACAACCCAGGACTTGTCGAACACAGACCTTCTTGAATGGCTGGGGCCGCTTGGACCTTTTGGGGAGTAGGACCAGGATGCTGCCTCGTCTGGCAAGTGAAGCAGATGTGACCGAGGTGAACAAGCAGGCGGAGGGTCTCGAGAGGGTCGCTGGACGCAAAGGCCGCTCGGACACTTCCTCGTCAGCTCAGGGATCCGGAGAAACAGTGCCGAGCCGAGGATCGGATGCCAGCACCTATGCCAAAGACTCGGATGGCAGGGATGCTTTGGTTGCTTGTCTCCAGCAAAGCCAGAGGGTCACAGATCTCATAGGCCTTTAGCCAGAAAAAGAGCGGATAGCGATTCTATTCTTGAAGATACTTTAGACAGCGCCGACCAAGCAACCTGCTGTTCATTGCAAGAGACGGCTGATTGATTTTTGTTGTGGGCCGAAGCCCACTGGCAAGAGGAAGTTGCACTCGAGCCCACTCATCTACCACGTGCTGGCATTGCTGTCTAGTCCAAATGACGGACCAGTCGGCTGTAGTATCTCGCCGTACCCAGCAAATTTCCACTTGCCAGGTGTTTTTTACCAGCATTCTGACTGAGAAGCAGGGCCGTACGATCTAACATGAAAAGGTTGCAAATGAGAGCAGTGTTGCCGTTCCCTGCTTCCCATCAGCAAACCACTTACTCGAGTAGATTCCGCCAGCTAGAACGCGCACTTGCGCGCTGCTGGTGGGGCAGCATTCGACAGCCTGTTGCAGTCAGACTCCCTGCTTTCCTAGACTGTTGTCTCCGTGGGCTTTCGCCATGGTGCTGGGTGCCGTGCGAAACTGCGCACGAGCATCTCCATAAGTTCCCCGCAAGATCTTAGTTTTGTTGAAGACGGTCAGAAAACAGAGAACTGCAACGGCTTTCGAGGGCTCCGGAAGACGTGCATGTGGAATTCTGATATAACTGCGGTTGGCCATGCGAGATGGGGCTTGGGCCCCAAGGAAAAGTCGAAAATCGTCGGAGCCTGCCCGCACAGAGGAGAGAGGTGTTTCAGCTCTGTCAGTGTTCAACAGTCTAGCAAAACCCCTCGTTCAGCTCGCTCAAGCCGCATCTTCACATCGGCATACTTATGTGCTCGGAACCTCCTCGCAGCAGCCAACCAGTGTTGGCCGTGTTTACAGGCACATGTACAGCACATGGTCTGCTTCAAAGTCAAACATACCTGACATCTGTGAGCATGTTGCCCAGCATCCAATGAAGGGTTACAGCAGCATTTCGCGCATCTCAGTACCTTCGCAGCAGATCCGGGAACGCATCTTTGGCAGTTTGGCAACCAGCGTAATCACGGATGCTAAGGCGACATGTCGTCGCTAGAGTAAGCGAGATGATGTCACTATAATTCGCCGGAAAGTGTCAAAGCCGCTGACTACAGCAGGTGCACACTGAATAAGGTGCAACAGGAGCTTCGAGGCACTGTTGGCTGCAGATAATCTTAATGGCTTCATGCTTGGTCCGCGAGATGATGAGTCCGAAGCCTCGCCGCTTTCGATCCCAATCGGCCTTGACTGCTCTTCGGGGGTAGGTCATGTCCTGCCCCGTGCTGCCCTGCTGTAGACTGTAGAGTACCTCCTTTCGGACAGGGCAGGAACCTTCCGGAACGCCACAGCTTTTTGCAATTCACCTCAGCGACAGCCTCAATGCGACAACTCTTTCAACTAGCCACAGTGTCGAAGCTAAGCCGCGTGAGGTGTCCAAAATTGCCATCGGCCAGTTGCATGATGCGACAGCTCATGTGGCAACATGCAAGCCGCTGTAAGCCTGTAAGCCCTTCCGGGAAGACTCGGAAAGATCTGAAAGTTCAGTTGCTGTTTGCTCCCGAGCGCAGCGTGAGGCTTCGGTTTCCGGGCCGAGCTGCACTTTCAGTACATGCAGGAGACACTAGTCACTAATGGTGGGACAGCAAGGCTTTGTTGCTTTTTTCGAGGCGAAGGCCGTGCAGAGGTCTTAAGCACGATGCTGCGCGCGAGACACGTCGCGCTACGGTGTCTGCTTGTCAATCCAGAGGGGCTTATCCTTTCATCCTCACTTAGCCAGAGGGCAGTGGAACAGCGTCCGGTGTGGTGAAATTGTCTCTTTCAGCCACACCCTGCCCTTATTCGGGCTTCGTGACTTTGTATTCTACTTTGCATTGCATGTCTGCTGCCGCAGCTGCAGCCGACCGCCCGCAAAGTCCACGCTGATGGCACAGACCGCGTGGACGAATGCTGGGATTCTGGAGGTATGCAGATCAAGGGTACGAGAACTCCTTTCGTCCTCTGCTGCATAACCCCTAAATTAAGTGCATTGAGCTGCCTGATGGGAGGAAGCACCTGATAAACGGCCTCCCAGGCTGCATCTTTACATTCGCGAGGTTTGCGATTTGTGTAGCTGCTAAGTGCCATGCCCACCTCCTTTCTCGGAGGAATGGCCTGTAAGTTATGCATGGTATTCCGGCCGTTTTCCTGCTGGACAGCGGGCTCCATCAGCAGCAGTCAATATCGTTCGAGCAGACACTGCCCACATCCTGACAATGAACATGAGACTCGAGACTGGATGGTTATGTTGTGGCAGCTCATGGAGCCAACGTTGAATTTATTTCTCTTGCGTGTGTGTCATCTCTCCTTCTCTCTCGCGCTGCTCTACGATTCTGGCCCACTGACGGTGGCTAGGTTTCTTGGGGATGAATCCGCACTTGAACTGAGACTTCATCCGCGGATTACATTTGGGGTTGTGTTTGTTTTCGGCTGGTTCAAAAGTTGCGCGTTCATCCCCACAAAGATGGTGCCGTCATGGCCAGGACCCGTTGCGTACATTCCCCGCGCGTGAATCATGAGATACCAGTAGCGAGGTTGACCACGTCTGCCGTTCGAGGCCTGAGTACGTGACAGTCGGCTCCTGCCAGGCTGCCGGAGCTGAGGAGCTCAAGGTATACCCGGAGGCTCGATGAAGTTTCGCGAAGCTGAACAGGACTTCGTGCGACTCAGCGCTTCTTTGATGGCCGTGGGCTTATAGCAGAGGCAGGGAGGAGAGCTTCAGTACCGTTGCAGGCTGAGCAGGATAGCACCATGGGCATGATCCAGCGGGATACCAATGGCTTCTGGCCGTTCCCTCGGAGCACCGCCGCTTCGGGTTCTGTCTGAAGTAACCATTGCGAAGTACTTGCCTCAGAAAAGCAGTGCCTACTGCCCAGACAACACGATCACCGCTTCAAGAGTCAACAAAGAAAAAACTAGGCTGGGCTCTAGGTCGGTCCAGCATCGAGGTCCGTGTCCTGTGTTACTACTGATCGAGAGCTTATCAGGCAGAGCAGAACAGAAGAGCAAGCGATAGAGGGCCCATAGAGTGCCTCGCCAAAGGCCGGGGCCGGGGCACACCACGGGGCGTCTCCTGGTATGTGGAAGTGGAGTGGCGAGAGCAGAAGACCTGGAAGGCGGTGGAACGGGCAGCATGGTGTGCCCGAAAAGGGGGCTCCAAGTGCGGAAGGTGACGAACAACGGAAGTTACTTCGGGCTCAAACGGGGACTGCCGATCTCCTTGACGCAGGACACTTCCTCAGCCTTGCAAAGAGAGACCCAAAACTTCCTTCAAAATCCGAGCAGCGTTGACACCACTCGGCTCTGTAGGCACTGTAGGCCATCGCAAAGGACTGAAAGGTGTGCCTCGCACTGCCTGTCGATTTGCACCAAGGCATGAGGATTTAGGCCTTAATTTAGGCACGACGAAGCGGCTTCAAATCTCAAGCAGGAGTTTCTGCATTGTCGTTTAGGCACTACTTGGCTTTCCGTCCAGTTTCGAGCTCAGCTGCAGCTGTAGTCACCAAGCGGGGATCTGCAAGAGCTTCTTGCCAGTATTCTGAGTTGATGGTGCCAAGCTACCGAGTGTGCGGTCTCTATCCAAAGGGAGCTCCACAGTGCTCAGGTCTTGAACAAGCCTGGCGCTGAGGGCGAGCTGCGGCGCCAGGTCAGCTTCGGGGCTGGTCGGTACCTGCGTTGAAGACTTTATCAAACCATCTCGGTAAGTCCGAGTTCACGTTCCTTACCGGATCCTCCCCTGCATCAGTGTTCGACCAGGAACTGTGGCGGAAGCGTATGGTCAACTTGCTTGGCCCAGAGCATCCGGCTGCCTCCACCTCGGCAAAGGTTGAACAACTAGGTAACTAGGTTCTTGCTGCTGCATCTTGCTCACTTTCGTCCGTAAAAGCTCATGTTTCGTGCAGGCCTGGTCAAGTGTTGGTAGCAGACGGAGTGAGCTGTTCGCGAAATGGAAACCAGGACTCGCAAGACATGTCTTCAGACAAGCACTCACCCCAAGCACGGAAATCTACTTTAGCCATTGCAGCAACTTTCGTGATTTATTGAAGCTTTGGCCACATGTAATTTAGTTGCAAATGCACCGGTGTCTGGCTCAGGCCAAGCTGCTGGAGGCGACCGAGCAAACCGACTCGGCGAGGTCGCAGGGCTGGGAACGGAAGTTGGGCCTGCAGGAATGAGCTTGTCTGATCTCTGTGAACTGCAGCATTCGAGCTGGCTTCGCTGATCATCAAGTCCTCACGCGCAGAAGCAGCGCTGTTGTTCCGTGGAGCAGGTCGGTCCTCCTCCAGCCGCTGAAGCCACCGAAACCGCGACGACACCACGTCTCTGAGGTCGAACCACGAAGTGGCATATATATATATATATATGTATGTATATATATATATATATATATATGTGATGCGGATGAGCTGTTGTTTTCCGTTCCGGACATGTGCCGCTCGATCCAGTTCGCAGAGTTATGCTGCGCAAGCAAAAGCTCTTCTCCACGCAGCCTGTCTCGTGCTCTCGTGCCTCCCTCTTTCGGTGAGGCCATTGCAGAGTCCATGGCTCCGCGCTCACCTCCTGCCAAGGACGTAAGCTTCAACATTGCTGGTGATGGTGGTTTGGTTGACGTGTTCAGATTCCCGGGGGTGGGGAAGTCGGAGCCAGTATGGAGCCCCCAGAAGCAAAAAGCCCAACGCCCCAAGCGATCAGGAGGGTAGGAGGACGGGGTTGCAAGATGCTTCGGAAACAGCCTGCGATTGTGGATCGGTGCTTGGGAACCACTACTCAGGCCGTCGACCATCCGCGAGCCAAGGAGTAGCATGAGTAGAACTCTGAGATGGAGTGTTGGAGCAAGTTCCAGATTGGATGTGTCTGAGTGGTGTAGTACTGGTTTGCTCATCTACCCCTAAATCTCAGAAACGTTCAGTTTTGAATTGCAAACCGCCGACCAAATAAGCTGAACCACCACACACGACCCCCACAACCCGAAACATCGAAACCCTGAAGCCAAGCTCTCAGCTCTTCAGCCAGTGAGTCCGAGTGCCAGGATCACAAGACCTTGAAGCGATCAGGCCGGATCGTGAGGGATCCTGACCAGCTCTGTGACCGCGTATCAGATGAAATCAGAACATAGGGCCATAAGTAGTTGCAAGAGGGATGTCCATCTACGATCGCGCAACCGTAAACGTATGTCTGCGTCTTTATCAGTTGCTCCAACAAAAGTCTACCGCTTGTTGATCGTCATCATCGGTGGTTTTCATCATCCATCTGTTTCTTTGGATAAGCAGACCAGGCAGAGCTTGCTGTCATTTGTTACTGTTTTCGAGACTTGCTTTTATCTTCCAAGAGATGCTGCTAGAGCCCTGAACGTCTGCAAAGACCACGCTGTGATCAGACATTTGAACCTTCCTTGCCAAGACGCGAAATCTTTGATCTGTATCTCTTGCAGGAACAGCGCCGGCATCTGCATTTGGCCGTGATCGGAATTTAGATTTCAGCCCTTCGCGCCACGCCTCGCAGAAATCTGCGGTCCTGGCGTCTAGCGACTTCTGGCAGAGTTGAGGTAAGCTTGAGATGCTGACACAGTGGCAAGAGCTAATGCATGCTAACAGGTCAACACCTGCAAGACTGTTGAAGCGGGCTGCCAACACTTCATCACATGCAGCGCACGCATCCAAGCCATGTCATGCCTCTTCCAGCTCTCATTAAGGACTCATATTACTGGGCTGGCGTTGATCGAGCACTTTCCAAGGCCGCAGAGCTGGGCAAGAAAAGCCTGTCTTCCGTGAGAGCAGATCTTGCAAAGAAGTAGCTCCTGTGTCTCCGGCTGCTGAGGATTCAGGTTTGGGCCTGAACTCCTTCCCGCTGGAAGCTCAGCTTGCCAGGTGTTTTGGCAAGAACCGATGTTGTCTGGAGTGCTTCTTCATCTTAGTCTTAGTCTTCTTGTTATCCGCTCCTTGCTTCTCTCCAAGAAGACTTTGCACGTAGCTTTCGCATGCTTCTCCCTGGCCGTGTCAGCGGAGTTCGACACTGGACGAGTTTGCAAACAGATCCGTGATGCACTAATCGACAAAATCCTCCACACCCGCGCACCGTGCCTTTTCTCGCTGAGGCGCTTCTAGTACCTGCTGGCAGGCAGCATGCCCTGTGGCGACGTAGCACAATGCTATTCATCAGCATCAACTCATATATGTGGATTTGTGTTCGCCGTATACATGACGCAGCCCAGCAAGCTAATTACTGGCATCGCGGTATGTCCAAAGGCTCGCTGATGAAGCAGAGTACAAGCACGACTTGTGCAGCAGTTTCGAACTGCTACAGTTTGCCTCAGTGTGCAGCCCAAAGAAGTCAGCAAAGGGATCGCCAATACGAGAGTCAGTGGCCGGGCTGTCGGACTCGGAAAGTGTTGCAGCTTCATTGTTTTTTAGCTTAGTCTCGTGAATGCCTTGTTGCTTTTTGGCTTGATCTCTTCTCGAATCTATCAATTCGCCCGGTTTCAGGCACCCGGCTGCCTTTTGCGAAACGGCAAGGGCAGCTGTGGTGTGAGCTAGCGAGCAGGGAAGCGGCGTCTCGTTCACTCCGCAGAGCGGACGTGTGGTCGAGCGAGTCGGCTTTTCCTGCTATCAGTTTGAGTGAAGACACCTGGGCGCAAGTGAAGTGTTCTCACGCCCCAACATATCGATCAAGGTTCGCAATCGTTAGCAGAACCTCTATCTTCCCTAGAATTCTCTTTGCCTGGCATAGTCAGGGCAGGACGTGAAAGGTTGACAGCTCACCCTGATATGTAATATGGATGACACAGTGTACGAAATAGAAGCGTTGCTACGACTAGGAAGGGTCGCTGAATTTTATCATACGTAAATTCGGGGTTGGCAAGTCTGGAGATCACTTCAGACTGCTGAATGAGTCACTTCTGCCGTGCGGCAGGAAGCCCTGTGGTGGCACTTGCTGCTACAGTAAGTGCAGCTGACTAGACCACTGCGTATATGCAGCGGAACATGAAAGAGTTCCCATCACGGTTTATGCGCCTGACAGATCTGCTATCAGGAACGCAGACACCTCGAGTTAAGTGTCCCATTTCCTGTTCAGGGGTTTTGAAGGCGTCAACCTGCGTTGCTCCTGACAGAGGATTCTAGCTCTGGAACCAGACGAAACCCATGTCGTCAAAAGGTTTGTCATATGACAGCTTCCCCACGATGCACTGAGGTTGCAGGCGGTAGGCGAGTGAGCTATGGTTTGCAGTTAAACGTTTAGGGCTTTAGCCGGTTGCCCAGGAACTTGGATCATCGAGGGGCCTCCCCAGTGTTAGGATCAATCGTGGGCAGGAACGCCTGTAGCAAGAAACATATAACTGCGTGATCCCTAAATAGTCATTACTATTTGTGCCCTGCCCTAGACCGCCCATGATTCAGTGTTACTGGAAGAGCCACCAATTGATCCCATGAAAGCCCGAGCTCTATACCACTTGATTTGGAACATTCGTTCACACTATTTTGATTATGCTGGACATTGCAGGATTACAGTGGTCTCTGGGAATTAGCATCAGAAGTGGCTATTGCACCCAAATCCTGTCGTAGCAGAAAGCTATCTTTTAGTTCGGGGCTCCTTGTATAGGCCTGTAACCCGAACCCAAACCCTCAATCGAGCCCAACACCTGAACCCCACGAGCCCTAAACCCTTACAAGACCGGATAAGCCAAATCCCTCAGTCCTCATCGCTACATCAGCTTCAAGAGGCAAGAGCTGCCTCAGTCGCGGGAAGTTGGTTACGGGTATATTATAGGTCTATACAAGATACAACCTATTCGGGTTTGCATATACTTCAAAACGATGTCCAATGCCGAGATTCCTCTCGAGGGATGTTTATGGTTGAGGGGATAAGAAGCTTAGAACTACTAGTATCATCAGCCCAACGATACACTATGGCATTTAAGCGTGGAGTCGCAATCGGACATTCCCAGCCTCAGGATCGAAAGCCTTTAGCCAAGCAGATGCCAAGCAGTGATAAAGCCGTCGGCCGGCCTTCGTAGCGGCCTTGGCTCCTGCCATGCAGAGACGCCCGTCGCGAAGTCGAAGCCCAGCGAAAGATGCGAAAGGCGCCTCTGTGGCCAGAACTGTCCCTCTGCTTCTCTGGTCTTTGTGAGGTGAGGATGTGGGCGAGAAAGAAGATGTACAACTGGACTCCTTGATCCAGGCCATGGCGCCAGCAGAGCTGTGTCGTTCTTGTCCCGGAACCAAGCCCTTCTGTCAGATCGGTGCGGGCATGGGCCTGTCCTTGGACCAGGCCCGTCCTGTGTTACATATCAATCTAAGCAAGGATTCTGAAGCTGTTCACAGAGGGAACGGCTCAGATATGAACGCCGTGCGAGGCTTTCGTCCTTGGAGAGCAAGTCCTTAGTGGGCAGATTGCACGTACCCTGGCCGCACAGCTGAGTTTTCAGACCTATGTTGGGCAGCGCAACCCTGTGAGGAGTCGATGGCGACATCGTCCAGATCAAGCAGCCGAGCGAAGCAGCGGCGAAGGTACTGGAGGCGGGTCCAGTATCCGCGATCAAGTGTGGGGGACCGGACCTTTCTCAACGCAGAGCACAGAATGGGTTGGAGATAGTTTGATGCTGCACGCTCCTCGCTTTTCAAAAACGGCGAAAGAGCTTGAAAGGTGCGGAGTTCCCTGGATACTGGTTTGCTCACGGACATCCAGCATGGGGAGAAGACCCAACCACCCGGGCCGATCGAGGCCTTTGCCAGTCGCTGAGAAAGGAATCAGTTCCTGGGCTTCTCGCAGGATCAATCGGTGCCAGAGCCAGGAGGGTCCCCGGATATCCGGAAGGCGCAGTCCCCTCTGTTTTTTGCAGGTCATGTGCTCCACTCATGGATCCCTGGCCAGGTTCAAAAAGAGCCCTCCGAAGCCGAAGCGCTTTTGGCTGGTATGGAGCTCCTGTCGTTTAGGGTGGAAATGCTTCTCTTTGCCCGCGTGTGAGATGTTCTTTTCTTGGGAGGAGCAGAGGTACAAGAAGTTCAAAGAGCAACTCTCGCCGCAGACTCAGAGTTTGGTAGATCCACCGTGCGGGGTCGGGGGATGCATTCGCAGCTCTTTGGCGGCTGCAAGCCACGAGACAAGACCGCGCTCAGATCTTTGCAGCAGCTTCCGGGGACACAAGGAACATCCAAGGTCTTGAAGGAGCGTTGCAGAATGGTGCAGACATGTGTAGTTCTGTTAGACTCATGGCCACAATATGCTTTGGCCACAGGACATGCTGCGTTACTACGGCAGCTTGGTGAGCACGCTTGGGCCCTATGCCCTAGGCAGGCCCTAAGTGTTTCGTGTCGGCAACTTCGGAAGGCCGGCAATCGGCCTCCCTCTGGCTGAGGTGGGAGCGCTGTCTCAGCAAACTCATGCCGATGGAGCCGCTTGAGGCTGTGGTGAGTTGATTCGGAATGCAGAGGGCTGTGGCCCATGGCTGTTGAAGTTGTCACGTATCAAGGGTTTTGTCGAGCTCAAGAATACCTGAAGTCCTGCTGAGCAGGACTTGCAACACTTGCCTGTGACCATCGAGGCCCGACCCGGATACACTTTCAAGCTTTCGTACTTACATACTTCATTAATCTGCAACAGCTTTGCCTGCAATTTGTTCACACCGCCCATCTATTAGGCACGAGTGTGTTCGAAGCCTTGACTTGACTGGTGGTCGTGCTTGATGTCTGCTGACTTTTCTTCGGCTTGCTATCGCCTTCTTCTTCATTCGAATTTTGAGGTTCACTTTCCTGTCCATTCCGGCTATGGAGAGGAGAGAGCAATAATACGGACCATTGAGCTGCAGGCGTGCGTCTGCACACAGGGAGGAGTGGGACACTGCCTCCTCCCACCTACTGAGAACGTTGTTGCCTCTATCTCTGCGTCGCGTTAACTTGTCCGGCCAAGCCCCATTGTGCTGTTCACCGGACATCGGGTGCTGTGAAGCTCACCTGACGGAAGGAGGGACGCGGCGTTGGCATTGGTTTGCAAGTGTCCCGCATATGATCAGTATGATCATGACAGGTCCGTGGCTTCGTGCGGCCGGAATGCAACAGGGCTCGGGCCATGGGTGGAGGGCTGTTTGGCAGAGAAACACATCCGGAGCGTCACCTGCGACCGTCGTCGACTCTCATGCTTGTGCGTCTGAGTCTCTGCGAGGAGCTTCTAAAGTTCTGACTTGCCAAGGATTTCCATCTGGACAAAGATTCCAACTTGAACGGAAAGCCGGTGTACCGCACCAAGGAGATGAAACATTGGCTTAGACTTTGGGCTTGTGGTGGCATTCTATGCGCAGGAAAGCGGCGAGGAATATTTCCTTTACTGGACTGTGGCTGGGACTGCAATACTTACAGTAGCAGAGCACTTGCAAGTGACCCTAGTGTCCACCCCGACTGCTTTAGCCTTGTGCAAACTTTTCAATCTTTGTGTATATGTATGTCGGTATGTATGTGTGTAAGTATGCATGCATGGATGGATGGATGGACGGATGGAGGGATGGATCGCCACGTAACTGTCCAACCCCCCCTCCCACCCTTCACACGCCCACACCCACGCCCGCCCTCCTGGTGTGGTCTGGAGGCGAGCACGGAATCTGCTGGAGAGTGACCGCTTTCGGCCTAGGCTTGGGGCCTGGGCATCACGATGACATCTCAAGACTGTCAACAGACACAGGAAGGTGCCGCTTGGGTTCAATTACCCATAACTGTTGCTGTTTCCGGATCTTGGTGTTATTACGAAGTCTCAGTGGTGCCAGCAAACACAGGGATGGGTGGTCTACAGCACCGTTTAGATTCTCGTTACTGTTGAACATGTCGAGAGGCGCAATCCGAACGAAGAGCCACTTAATCTGCCCAAGGGCATGTATTCCCCTCACCGAAACCCGAACACACCCCGACCCACCAACCCACCCACACAAGGGGGGTAGAGGGTATCGCACCATGGGAGGGGAGGACTGGCCACGCCCACTCAGGTGT